GGACATTGGCTTGTGTTGACTTGAAAAACATCTTGATAAGAGGTTGTCAAAGCCAAGGACGCAAAGCGGGGGTGGGTGGGAGTTCTGGCAAAATCCTGCTAGATCCGGAATAACTTAAGATCCCTGATGGATCAAAGGGAAAGCAAGGGCTTGGGTTCTCTCAGGACCGCAGCATTCAGGCCGCCTAGCAAGTGGAATTCACCTCCGTCCTGCTGCTGGCGATGGAGGCGAGATGCAGCCGCCCTGAATAGCAAGCACTGACAGTCTGTCTTTTTGTCCATTCGTCCGTCCATTCATTCATTCATTCATTCATTCATTCATTCATTCAACTTCTGTATTGCCCATCTGGCTGCAAGGCCATTCTGGGTAGTTTACAGTACAATAAAACAGTGACACTTTTTCTTTAAAAAAATTGAACTTAATGGTTCTACAAAAACCAAAAGTCAAAAGGACAACACACAATCACAAACGAGGAAAACAACATCAACCTCAAATTCTCTGTGAAATTGTTCAAATCCCCTTTGATTGCTATCAAAGAATATGATCACACGGGGAGAACAGATCATGGTCTGGACTGTCAGTGGAGTGGCTGGTTGTGATCTCTTTCCTGGCAATCTTGCAGTGCGCGGGCAAAGGCCCTTCGGCCCGTGCCTGATTTGTGCCCAAAGTGGGCCTTTTCTGTCCAGCTGCAGGGCGTTTCCCTTTGGGGAGCGATTCCCTAGCCGATGGATGGAAGGAAGGGTCGCTTTAAGCGTCCCTCTGCAGCCATCTCCTCTCAACCAAATTTTGTTTGCGTCACTACATCACAGATTCTGTTTTTTAACCCTGGACTTTTGTCCTGTGCAAAAACCTCCCTCTTGACAACAGGAGAAGAGAGAGCTTCCTCCTGCGTTGCTTTACTCTTGCGGCTTTTAGAAAGGGTTCTTTAGGCCTGTTACAACTCGTATGTTTTGATTTTGTTCTTTGCTCAGTTTATTTTAAGCTTTTTTAAAAAGTTCTTTTTAATGGTTCTTGTGTAACACCTTGAGCCCTCTTCCTTAGCGGAGACACAAGGTCAGTCTGAAATCCTTAAATCCATAAACAGGGCAGACTTAGATTAACCTCCCTATATCTGGAATGAATCCCTGGTCCGCTGTCTGGTGGGCGTTGTTCATTTTTACGTGATGTGCTGTATTTCTATGTCCAAACTTTGACACAACTACGGGAGGCAGTGGAGGACAGGAGGGCCTAGCATGCTCTGGTCCACGGGGTCACAATGAGTCGGACACGACTTAACTAAACAACTACAAATTGTATTTTTAAAAAAGAAAGGCAGCATAACCAGCTAATACGTGGCCATTTGTTGCCAAAGACCTGCTGAAATAATATCTTTGTCAGTCCGTCCGTCCGTCCGTCCGTCCGTCCGTCCGTCCGTCCGTCCGTCCTTCCTTCCTTCCTTCCTTCCTTCCTTCCTTCCTTCCTTCCTTCCTTCCTAATATTTTTAACCTGTCTTCCCCAAGGGGGCTTACAAACAGTTGAAACAAATACTGTGGTGGTGAACATCATTAAAAGACAATGTTTAAAACTATGAACAATGAATAAGAAGGCATATTACGTCATTCACAAGCAATATTAAGGCAACTATTTTTTTTTAAAAAATGCCACTCTGAAAAATAGAAAACAGAAGTAGTACTAAACACCCAGTCAAAGCAGTCATGCATAATCATCTCTCTAAAAACCACACACCGGTAGCTGGTTCCTGGGAGGAAGCTTGCCTGAAGAGAAAGGTCTTCACCTCCTTGCGGGAGGACAGCAAAAACAGGGCCAAGTTGGCCTCCAGTGGCAGGGAGTTCCAAGGTCTGGGAGCAGCCGCAGAGAAGGCCCTCTCCCATGTTGTCCCCACCAAACACACCTGTGAAGGTGGGGAGGTCGAGAGAAAGGCCTCCCCTGATGCTGTCCACGCCCAAGTTGGCTCCTAAAGGGAGAGGCACCCTTTGAGAGAGCTTGGACCCTGGCTTTCCATTCACGGCTTCCCCTTCTGAAGTTCAGACCCTGGATGCAGTCCGTGGAATAGATGGGAGATATCCGCTCCTCCAGAGGTGAGGCATCTTCTGCTCCGACACACTGCAGGGTCGCCTCAGTCCTCTGTGAAGGATTCCCTGGGCCTTTTTTTCCTTGTCTGTCTGGGTGTCATTGCATTGGAAACGGCCCCAAGAGTGGTTTCAGGGTTAGGGGCCAGTATAGACGCAGCCGGCTTGGCTTTTGCTTGGCTTGGTGTGATTCTGGAGCATGGGGAACTCCCGACCACTGTGGAAGTGACGTTCTCCCTGCCTTTTCCTCTCTTTTTCACAGGTGGGGTTCTTGAAGATCCTTCACAAGTACGAAATCACGTTTGTCCTGCCTTTTGTGGAGCGGCTGGGGAAGGACGTGTGTGCCGCACCCTTGTCGAACCTTCACCTCAAGGTGATCAACATCCTGCCTGTCTCCGAAGGTGAGGCTTCCCTGGCTGGGGCCAGCTGCTGAGCTGTGGGACGGGAGGCTGGCTGGCTGGCTGGCAGGTTGGCAAGCTCCTCCCTCCCCCGCCGCCTACCAAGGACGCAACCCTTTCTTTGGTTTCCATGCAGGCTGAATCTTCCTTTCTTAAAGAACACTTGCTGTGAAAACATGAGAATTTGAATAAGAAATATTTCCCAGTTCAGGAAAATATTCTTGGAGCCTCTTGGAGCGGCGGCTAAACTGCAGAACTGCAGCCCAAACTCTGCTTACCGCCCCGGTTCCATCGGAGGCTCGAGGTTTGCTCAGCTTCCCATCCTTCTTAGTTTGGCAGATTGAGGACCTAGCTTGCTGGGGTGGGGTTGGGGGGGGGCAATAGGTAGCCTGCGTAATTCAAGCGGTAATCAGAAGCCACTGGCAATGGTGTGGCTAAAAAATATTGTAAATAAATAAAAATAAATAAATAAATCATGCAGAGAGTGCTTTAAGCACTATGGGGAAGTATATAAGCGGCACATTTTGCTTTTCCTTGCCTGCAGACCAAACACACCTAGTTTTCTTAACTTTTGACTCTATGTCAGTGTCCCTCCTCATTTCTCTTTCTTATTCCCCCCCCCAAAAAAAAACACCACTATTTCAGGGTCCCTTACGGATGCCTGCCATGAGCATGCATCCTACGTGCGCTCTTCTGAACAGGCTCACTCCAGAGGCCTAGGATAGTTCTCCTTTAAGTTCCCTTCGCTGTTGTCGTGCTCCTGAATGACATTTGTGGAGCGTAACTGGGTCACGAGACCAGTCCAAGCCCAACTTGTCTTCTCCATCATCATCCCTCCCTTCTCCCTAAAACCTAAGGAGGCATCAATTGTGCCTTGCTCGGAGTTGCAGATTCATGAGGGATGCTTTCTCTCGTGGATCCGAAATGTCTTGCTGTGGCCTGGCTGGGATTCACGCAAAATGCATCGGCTTTCAGTCTTGCTTGGAGCCAAGAGGCTGGTGGCGGTCCTCGCGGCCCTGTGGTGTTGTCTTCCTCTCTAGTTGGAAAGAGGTAGAGACCAACTCTGGCAGAACTAGGGTCTTTCGGAGCCCTGGCCAGAAGTTGGTGGCTCCCCTCTTAATGGGCTTCAGCCTTCTAAATAGCGAACTGTCAATCTCAAATTGGCCTTCTCAGCCACACTAGACGCTGTTCCAAGTCCCCCATACAGAGCACGTGACCCTAGTCTCCCAAGACTGAAGGACGCCTCATCTGCTCAGGTGAAGAGCAACGTTCTGAGGAGGAGAGTCTTCTCTGTGCTTCTAGAGATCCTGGTTTTCCAGGCAAGCAGGTCATACGAAAAGGTTCCACTCACAGAAAAGGGTCTCCTCCTTAAGCGGATCAGCCTGGAATTTTGAGAGGGCTGTGGATGATGCCCTTTGAAAATCCTTGCTGCCATGGATTTGACCAGTTACGAAAGATGCCCAAAAGCGATGAGAAGACCAGATGAGGCGAACAGACCTGGAAAAGTGAGCACTGGGCAGCCCAGAAACCAAAGCCCATCCTTAGCTCCCACAAAACACCACAAAGTGTTCGTGGCAAACTGGCAGTCCTCAGGGAGATGTGCAAGGCTGAAACACCCACGCGTGAGCTGTATGTCCACATCAAAGCAAAAAATGCCCCCCCCCAAGAAATACACACTGAAAGTGAACCAGGCACTAGCAAGCACAGACAGGAGGCAAAACATGCACAGCAAAACCTGGCTCCAGTAATCCCAAAGAAAAAGAGACGACATTTGCTAACCCACCCATCACACCTTTGCTGACGCAGCAGGGGCCAAATGCAGCTGCCGCCCGGTTAGCAGATGGGTTGCTTGTTTTTATGCTCCACCTTTCGCCCAAGACTAGGATTTGATGTGGCTTACAATAGAATTGAAACAAAAAGCAAAGAGACCTAGACCTGCTAAAATCACAATGTCAAAAAGTCTGAAACATTGCTAAACCAGGTGTAGTATTAAAACACAAACGAAGGAGAATAAAGGAAAAAAAATCAGTTTGTGTAGTAATAATTGCAACTAGGGAGGGAAACTGCAGTGCAGTTCATTGGTTAAATTCCCTCTTCTTCCCTCTGGTCTGTCCAGCCTAGTTGGAACTGCAGATGTACTGGTTAAGATGCCAGGTGGTTTTACACCACGCAGGGCCTTCTTGGTGTGTTGCACTCCAGCTCCCATGATCCCCAGACATCAAGGCTGACGGGAACTGTAACTTAATGGACCTGGAGGGCGTGAGAGAGGGGAGAGTCCGCTGTATGATGATAGCACTATATCGGAATATCCGGCCGCTGGAAGTTCCTATGTGTGTCTTCCGGGCATCAGATTTGCGCCCTTAGGCTCCCACTTTTGAGTTTTCCTTGGGGTAGGAGACAGTTTCATGCAACCTATTGCCAAAAAAAGTAAGAGAGCGTGCTTCATGAATAATCCTGGTGTGGCGGCAGCTTGGGTTGTTTCACTCATAGATTGGCTGATTGGTTGGTGGATTGCTATTGTTAATTATTTATTTCAAATGTTTTTATCCCACCTTTCTCCTTAATAAGGACCCAAGGCGGCTTAATGTCACTGGAAGACAATATTTAAAGCTGGAAACAATGAGCATACAACGTGGTTTACATCATTAAAAGACAATATTTAAAGCTAAGAACAATGCGTATAAAGAGGCAGCTTGCATCATTAAAAGGCAATATTTAAACTAAGCTAGGAATACTAAGGATGGCAACATTAAAAAGGAATAAACAGATCCCACTCTGAGAGATGGTAAACACAAGTAGTACTAAAGACCCAGTCAGAACAGTAAAACCGATCAATCTGTCTAAAAAAGGAAAGGAAAAGCTTGCCTGAAGAGAAAGGTCTTTGCCTGCTTGTGGAAGGACAGCAAAGATGGGGCCCGGCGGTCCTCCAGTGGCAGGGAGTTCCAGAGTCAGGAATTGCCAGCTAACCATAGATCCCAAAGTAGCAGGGATTGATTTCTCTTGCTCATTTGCTTAAAATGTTTGCATGCTCTCCAAGACGTGCGATGGCTAGATGCCCTCAGGGCAGTTTGCAAATAAAAGAAGCAACCACAACAATGAATGTGAGGGCTGTTTTCACAATGATCGATGGGAGAGTGCCAGCAGCAACGGGAGGGGAGCAGGTGCCGAAAGCATTCATGGAATTCTCTTCGAGAGGGAGCTGCTAAGAGGACCTGGGGATCTAGTCAACCTGGGGATCTGGCTTGCAGCCTGAGCAAATCCACAGGGGGGGAGGGTTCGTGGATCCGGGATGCAAATTGCCCTTGTCCAAGCCACGCATGTGCGTTGTGGATTTGTGACTATGACTGCAACCAGCTAACACACTAGGGAGGTTGTACTAGCATGTGTGTGCCCAAAGATATGCTGTAAGAGCATCTGGTTCTGTTGGCTTTATGGTACAGTTGATAACCTTGCACCAAACTTCAGGTGATCCTCGTAATTTGGCTCCACCTAAATGTAATCTTCGGCTTTTTGCAGGCATCGATGGCCGTGTCTCGGTGTGCTCCCTCTCCCTCGGATCTCTGCAATGCCCACCCTGATAAAGTCCTAGTGAGTCGGGAAAGGTGGGCTTCTTTAAATGATAGTTCAGTGGTTCCAGTCAAGCTCTTCCTCAGTGCTGGTTTTTAGATTTTTGCTCAGGGGCCCCTGATGATCAGCGCATCCTGCCCTCTGACATCGGAGGAGTTCCCTTGTGGGATTTACAGGCCAAAGTGACAGGCTGAGTCATCGGTTTGCATGTTTACCTGCTGATGCGGCAGACAAAAAAACGGCTAGGCTCACGTTCTCCCTGATGCGGTTGGCAGCTACGCAGAGAGAGCGAGCGAGAGAGAGAGAATGCTGCCTCTTTGCCGCCTGTTCTGTGCGGCCCCTGGACGTGCCGTGATTTCAGTTCAGTACGTGATGTGCTGTCCCAGCTCATCTATAGTCTGAAGCAGTGTATTCTTCGTGGGGCGGGGTGGGGGGAAACTACTAAGGGGATGATCAGATAAGCCTATGCTGTAGCTTGCTATTTGGTTTGCTCTTGGCGCAGTCCAGGGGCGGCACGTGTTTTAAGTAAAAGCGATCCATCCTGCCTCCTTTGTGAGCTGTTCTGCCCCTTCCTGGCACAGCGCTAGGGTTGTAGTTTATTTGGCGCAACAGGGGCTGCTCTTGATGATCTTGTTCTGCAGTCTGGTGCGGTCGCTTAATTTATTTCCAAGTAGAACTTCCTTCCTTTGGTGGTTGATCCATCCAGTGGTGGACAGCTGTGGCCCTGCAGAGGTTTTTGGGACCACAGCTCCCAGAACCCCTTGCTCCTCCTAGGTATGCTGGTTAAGGCTGATGGGAGTTGTGGGTGAAAACCAGGGAGTCTGTGGTTTATCCCCAGCAAAATTCATTGCATGTAGTGGGTCTGCAGAGAAAATGCCAAATTACATGTCTCAACGTATTTTCTCTTTATAGACTCCTAGAATAATTCAGTTGGAAGGGGGCCTCTAAGGTCATTGAGTCCAACTCCCTGCTCAGAGCAGGAATACCAATCAATGCCAGGTGGTGGTCTTAAGTTCTGCTTGAAGGCCTCCAGTGCTGGAACAGTCCCTGCCTCTTGAGCAAATGGGTTCTGTTGTTGTACTGCTCTAACAGTTAGGAAGTTTTCCCTGATATTCAGCCTAAATCTGGCTTCCTGTAGCTTGAGCCCACTATTACATTTCCTGCACTCTGGGATCACTGAGAACGGATCCTGCCCTTTCTCGGGCCAAGGGGGTCTGTAAAAAGGACAGATGCAGCCGTGGCTAAGGCTTTCTGACCAGTGCCAGGCGATCCAGGGCATGCTCCCAGCTCAAAAACACAGGACTTAGGCTCGCTTTGAGGAAGTACGTATCGGCCTGACGCTGCTTATTCCAAAGGCTGAAATCAGCTCAGAGAGCCTCCAAGGGCCACGCTTCACCTGACAAGATCAGTGGCTCCTTTGAGAGCTTCGTGGCAAC